TGTGAGCCCTGCACCGAAGAAATTAATTCATTAAGAGCTTGATTATAATCTATTGACAAACCTTGGTTTGGTTGGGCATATTGTATATGAGGTTGTGGTGGATGCATAGACGTTGAATAGAACTCCTCATAGGGCTGCCAATATCCTTCTTGTTGAATATGTTGAGGTTCCCACCACGTAGAGTTTGAATGATCACTCCAATCCGAATTGCAATTATTGGAAAACACGTCGTTCCTTGATTGATTATGATCAAATGTACCAACTCTTTGCATTTGGTACTCTTCCATAAGCTGTGACAAAAGGGAAGCATTATCAAGTGCCATGTCTTGCGTCTAAAATCAACAAAATAAAACTAAAAATATATACACACAAACGAAAATAAAACAATCCAAGAGATTAGCAAAGTTGCTAATCCCCGGCAACGGCGCCAAAATTTGATGCGAGAATTATACGCACACAAATTAAACCCTCTTTTTGACAATTGTAGTATAGAATGTAAGTAGGGATCGTTCAGGACCGAGGATTAGGAGGGATTGTTAATCACTTGGATTTCACTCAAAAACGTAAAAACACAATATAAAACACTCTACTAGACTCAAAGAATGCAAAACTAAACTTTAAAACACTAAAACAAACCAAAAGACTCAAAACAGCACCAAAACACTCAAAACTGCCTTAAAAACACTTTCTGGGCAGTTTTGAGCACTTTGAGTACTTTGGACGAATTTGGGTAACAAATTGAATCAAAACACTTATAAACACAAACTAAGACACTTTCTAACTAATTTGGACAATACAAAGACTCAAAACTGCCTAAAAACACTAACTAGGCAGTTTCTGACCTTAAACCCAATTTTGGACGAATTTAAGTTGTAACTTGACTCAAGACTCTTAAAAACACAAACTAAATTGATTTCTAACTAATTTGACAATAAAGTAAAGGAGGATTTAGGGTTTGACGAAATTAAACTAAATGAACAAATTGCAATTAAAACAGAATGTAAATATGAAATGGATGAATTGGAATGAATGGATGCTAACCAAGGGATTCATCTCCACACATGTTACACTTGCATAATAAAAAGATTTCCAATTGCATTTCAATAAACCATGAATTCTCAACACCCCAAATTAACCGTGATGCACTAATTAACCTTCAAATCTTCCTAACGTTATTGAATTGGATGATTGCATACGACAACCCAAAACATTCCCCACAAGTCCCCTACATGATTGCATAATAGAGATACAAGCAAGAATCATTACGCTCTATGAAAATTATAAGTGTTGACGAGGCATTCGTTACTATGATTGCATGAAACTTATGCCAACAATTCGTTTAACGCGATTGTTTATAAGCAACCTCCACTACTTATGAATATAAGTTCGTAACTATTAGGTGAAACTCACTTATATTCTAGCGTCATATTCATGCATGAGAATTAAGCGTGTACTCTCAATAAACATACATAAATAAGTTATCAATCAAACAGTTAAACAAATTGAATCCACAACTTATGAAATGCAATTAGAAGTAATCAAATCAAAATGCAAGCATAAACATATATTTCGAGTCCCCCCCTAGCCAAGGGGGGGTTTAGTTCCTCATACGTACAAGACAAAGAGAATTGAAATTAAACATTGAAATCGAGGAAAAGCAACACCTAAAAATTCCAACAACTCAAACTTGAATTGTATGAACGTTTAGGCACTCTTCTCCTCCTCTTTGTTGTGACACAAGGTCTAAGGATAGGTTTGGAGGGATGGGGAGTTATGGATGGTGTAGAATGATGTGTTTAGGATAGGGATGGATGTAGGGGACCCCAAGGCTTATTTTTTGGGCAGAAAATATGAAGAATGGTGAAGTATGGATGTGTTATAGAGAGGGGATGAATTTCTGGCGTGAATGGTGAATGAATCAATGAGAATGCAATGGATGCTTATTTATAGGTGAATGAAGGAAGAAAAGAGGGAATATGACAGCTAGGTTGTGATGATGAATGCATGTGCAAAGTTGGTTGAATGATTATGAGTGCATGTGGCTGATTTATGAAGGGAATGCATGTTGATTAAAGTGGAATGACAGCTAGGTTAAATGATGAATGCATGTGCAAAGTTGGTTGAATGATTATGGGTGCATGTGGCTGATTTATATGAATGATTATGGGTGCATGTGGGTTGGAAATGATTAAAGAGTGAGGGTATGCACGGCAATGATGGTGGCATGTGCTGATGGTTTATGAAGATGCATGTGCAATGAAGTGGAATGGATGTGGCTGCAAGGTTTTGTGTTAGGTGATAAGTGGTGATGATAAGTGTATGATATGTGATTATGATAAGTGATAAGTGGTGATGATAAGTAATGATATGTGATTATGATAAGTGATAAGTGGTGATGATAAGTAATGATATGTGATTATGATAAGTGATAAGCGGTGATGATAAGTAATGATATGTGAGAGTGTGGCTGAAATGAAGGAGTGGAATGTTGGAATGTTATGCACGGCTAAGGATATAGGAAATGTTTAAATGTCCTAAAACTAAAGGGAACAAGGTTCCAACACTTTGGTCTTCAATTAGGTCTTCAATTTCGTCTAACACTTTGGCTCCAAGCATAAGCTATCCATCCTTAGCCCAAAAGTGCTCCAAAAGTCTCCAAAATGCATCTTTTTGCTCCTTTAGCCATTTGGACATACAAACACACGAAAATAGCTTAAAGTACTAAAATAACTAAATAAACATAACGTAAATGCACGAGAACAAGCCATTTAAGTCGCATGAATATGCTCCTATCAACGTGTTCTTGAATTGTTCATCGTGTTTGGCTCATATTCATCAACGGCTTCATAATCGTACTCATCTTCCACAATCATGTTGTGAAGAATGATGCACGTCATCATGATGGATCGAAGCGACTCTACATCAAACAATCTGGCAGCACCCCTAACGATCGCCCAGCGAGCTTGGAGGATACCGAAACAACGCTCCACATCCTTCCTGCACCCCTCTTGACAGCTTGCAAAGTGTTTTTCCTTTGCACTCCGAGGACGTGGCACTGTTTTGACAAATGTTGACCATCACGGGTAAATGCCGTCAGCTAGGTAGTATGGCCCGTCGTACATACGTCCGTTGACCTCATACGTAACTTTTGGTGCCTTTCCTTGCAAGACATCGTTGAACACTGGGGATTGGGTAAGGACGTTGAGGTCATTTTGAACTCCTGGGACCCCGAAAAAGGCGTGCCGAATCCATGTATCAAAAGATGTCACCGCCTCCAAAATGATACTTTTTGCTCTTTTTCTGTCCCCGTAAGCGCCTTGCCATGCACTTGGACAGTTTTTCCACGTCCAGTGCATACAATCAATGCTTCCAATCATCCCAGGAAAGCCACGCATCTCTACCTTCTTCAACAGCCGTTCCAAGTCCATGTTTGTAGGTTTACGGAGGTACTTAGCGGTGTAGATAGATTTGATTGCTCTGCAAAACCTCATCAGGGACTCAAGAATGGTTGATTTCCCCATCCTCGTTATTTCATCCACTTGGTCTGCAGATGCTCCATATGCAAGCATCCGCAAGGCAGCAGTAATTTTTTGCTCAGGCAATAGACTCATAGCACCAAAAGCATCTTTCTTTTGCACAAAGTAAGAATCATGGTTGTAAACTGCAATCATGATTTTGTTGAACAAATGTTGTTCCATTCTAAAACGATGTTTAAAGTACGTATCAGGGAATGCACTATTAGGAACAAAATAATCATCCAAGAGTTCCATACCTCGTCGTTGCCTGCTTTTATCAAGGTTTCCGGAACGGCTGGGCCTGCAGATTTGAGTCGTAGCTTGGATGACTCGACAGAAATGTGAGGTTTTGCCCATTCTTACTTCGTCATCTCTCCTTCTACACTCCTCATCCTCTTCCCTCTCATTTTTTGCCCCCTGTTGATTGAACATTGCTTCTGATTGGTTAAACAATTCTTCCTCTTCCTGATCGAATTCCCACATCATCCTTGAGGAAGAAGAAGACATTGTAAGAAAGAAGCAGAAACTATGAATAATGATACAGATTTTTGTGAAGAAGGAAGCAGAAACTATGAATAATGATAGAGATCTTGAGAAAATTGGTGTGAGATTTGTGAGGATGGATGGTGGATTATATAGAAGATTCAGAAAGGATTAGGTTGTACATAATGCCACGTGGCATGCTGTCATTCGTTAAAAATCTAATGGAAATCTATCCTAAAAAATTGTGAACAGATTATGATACGTGGCATGCCGTCATTCGTTAAAAATCTCATAGAAATCTATCCTCAAAGATTGTGAACAGATTATGACACGTGGCATGCCGTCATTCGTTAAAATCTATCCTCAAAGATTGTGAACAGATTATGACACGTGGCGCGACGTAATTGGTTAATAATCTTATCAGAAATCCATCACCAATAATTGTATTTTCGGATAATGACACGTGGCATAACGAGTACGATTAAAAAATTTATCAGAAATCCATCCCCAATAATTGTCTTTTCGGATTTTATGACAAGTGGCGTAACGACAACGATTAAAAATCTTATTCGAAATTACAAATAAAATTATTTTGTATTATTTAATAATACTTCGGATAATGACACGTGGCGCAATGAAAACGATTAAAAATCTTATCCGATATTACAATTAAAATTATTTTGTATTATTTTATAAATAAATAAAATACTAATATTTTATTGCCTATTGCCAGAGCTATTGAAGTGTAACGGTGGAGATGCAAATGCTATTGCCAGGGCTATTACTGTTCATTAAAGGCAGTTAGTTACTGTTCATTAGGTGGATTGAATAATGCATTGCCTGGGGGGAGTGCTCCAACGTTAGAGTTGCTCTCACACTTAACAGATTATGTAGATGATAATTATTAAATTGAGGATAATATCGGTATTATTGAAAGTGTGTATTTGGCCTTGCTGTGGCTCTTGAGTTTCCTTTTGAAATAACAACAGTAAACCATCATTCCCTCCCTCAAAGTTCCAAAAAAAAAAAAAAAAATGCAAAAAGCAAAATGATATTGAGTTTTCGTTGCCGGGCAGAGAGGAGTCCCACGCTCTGAGCTTCTGGTTCTTCTTCTTCCTCCTTTTCCATTCTCTTAACTTTTCTTCTTCTGGGTCCGAAATGAAATGCTCCAACGAATTTAGGGTTTTCAAGATTTCAGTGTCAAAAGGGTAAAAACTATTTTCTCTGTAATACTCGTCGTCAAGCTGTTCACATTAATTCTCATAACTGGAGAGATTGAATCTAATTTCCCCAAAATCGCCAGAAACCCAGAAATCGAAGCTTAATTTTCACCCAAAAATCACAAGTGAAACAGCAAAACATGTCCATCGCAAGCCCCATGGCCATTTTCCCTTTCGAGTTACACCCATTTTTCATTTACTAATTGGGAAGGGAAAGCAGACCCAGAAATTTTCTCTTCTGCAAGAGTAAAACCCAGAAGCCTTTTCGGGTTTTGTCAATTCTGAGCTCACAAAAACCTGAAAAGCTTGTTGGGTAAGTTTTCTTAAAAAGAATTGTTATATGGGTTATTGTTTTTACTTTCTTTGCTTGTTCTGGGTTTTACTGAATTTATGTGTTTTTGAATTGCTTGTTAAATCTTTTTTCAGGGTTTTACTGGGAGCAGAAAAAAGTCGCTTTTGAATTTTTGTGCGGCTGCAAGGATTGTGATCACCAGACAAGGAAGGTAAAAGATCTTTCCCTGATTCCCTATTATTTTGATGAAGTTAAAAAATGGTATGATGGTGTAAAGGCTGTGAGTTTTGATTTGGTTGAAATGTGGGTATGAGCTTGAGGAAATTTATGTGTTTTTATGATTACAATGAAGTTCTGTTTGATTCTAAGAGATTGAAAGTACTGAAAATTTATATTGACCTCAACAGGCTTAAGATGGAGGCTAGAAAGATCTACATATTTTTTTTCGTTGTTTGGGTAATTTGGTTGTACAGATGTGTTGATTAGTATTATGTTATAAAAGCATGCGATAGATTATGTGGACTTTTTGCGCTGTGGAGGTTGGTTGTGTGCTGATAACTTGATAGTCAATATGTTTACTGATTGTGTTGGTGACGATTCACTATGAGTGAGGTTTAATTTGTTTAGAATAAGAAGGATTTAGTAATTTTGATGATCTGGAAATTTTGGAGGCTGACTGGCTGTTCGTTGAATGAATTTGTTTTAAGGAAATTGGACTGTTTACATGTTAAAATAAGAGTGACATCCATATTAAATTTCATGCAAAATGGATTTAAGATGAAATTATGGTAAGTTTTCCAACTTAGGACTGTGCTCACCTAGTTTTCAAAAATAAGTTTGTTTGGCTTTCTTGGTGGAGTCTCTCATTGAATGTTATGCACTAGGGAGAGTTAGAACAAAAATTTGAACTAGAATTACTACTTCCGGAGGGTGGGGTCATTGGGATTGTTATCATGGTGGTGGTGTACTTGTATTGCACCCTTTTGGTTGTGGGTAGTGCCCCTTTGAAGGCTGAATTCTGAGTGCAATTGTCTTTGATCCAAAAAAATAATAATAATAACTAGTAAACCAAGGGAGTGTAAGATACACTGGGATACTGGGTTATATGCATCCTTTGCGGAACCAATGTCTTCAAAAAATTGTATAAAAGCTGAGCCAAAAGTTGACACCTCAGTTTCTTCATGGATTATGGAGTTCCACAAATTTTCCGCTTTCCTTATTCCCATATTTTAATGAAATGGCATTCTTAGCACCTTATATTTTTATATACTATTTGTCATCTGCCCTTTGAGTCCTGGGTGACTTACTAGAGTGATCCGCACAAAGTTGTTGCCCCTTCTATGCTTTATAAGTGGAACACGGACATAAATCACAACACAAAAGAGAAAATCTGCACATGAAAATCTTGCAACCTAGTCATACACTGGTTACCGTACAGGTCTCAGTGCAGAAACGTACTCCAAGGATGCTATCTCGTAGTATAGATGCCACACAGTTGAAGGATCCTCATTCACTTGAAGTTCATCCGAGAGGTGCCAATTCTCCCACTGACCCATCACACATTAACCCTTCAACAGTTCAGGTGCAGACTGATTCAAGGCATCCAGTTGAAAACAGTGCTAGAAAATTTTCAGAGATAGAATCTTTCTCAGATTCTCATGGAATGCAAGTCAGTCAAATGCCTCCGTCTTATGTGGTAGCTTCGGATCAAGAAAGGGAGTGCTCCTCAGTTCCTACGCAAGTATTTAACAAGCCACAGAAACAGCAACAACAATTGCACTATTCAGAGTCATCACTTATTATGCATGGAAATGCTGGTGGTACTTTTCACCCGTATTCAGGGACAAGGGTCAATACTTCTGCATTGCCTGTCAAACAGCAACCTTTTGATGCACAACCAAGGCAAAGTCTACAACATCAAAGCATGGGTTCTGCTCAGTCAGGTGGGGAAGCACATGGAATGAACATCATGAGTATGTCCAAAATGGGGAGTCAAAATTCTATGAATGACCCTAGTAGACTGGAAGGTGGATCTTGTTCTCACTTGAACAATAATGCTACTTTAGAACAGAATCCCATTCCTTGTAAATCATCAAATAAAGAGCAGAGTTCCAATCCCTTGTCATCAATGGCATATGTCAAACAGGGATCATTTGATCAGACTATTAGGCAGCAACACAACCCCTCATTGCCTGATTCACAGGGATTGCCTTCTGTTTCTGCTGCACTACTTGAACAGGGAAATGCATCATCTGGAATTCCAATGAATGAAGTCTTAGAGAAGTCTTCTAGATTAGGCGCTTCAACATCTGTAAGCATTGCTCCTTCATCATCTAAAAGCACATTGCCCTCAATTTCTGTTTCTCCTTCCATCACAATGCAAGTCAATCCTAGTGTCTCGGTAATTTCATTCCCCTCATCTACATTTTCCTCTACATATGCTTTTGTTTGGTCATGATAGATATTTCCTATATTTTTATTGATGTGTTTTCTGAAGTGTACTCTATTGAGAACTATTTATAGAACTACATACATGAGAGTGGCTACTCCTATTGTGGCGCTCTTTTGCAATGGTCGTAAAGCAGAAAATATGTATTTTGTATCTTTATGTCCTGTAATGTTTATCCGAGATTTCTCATGACTCACAGGATGATATGACGTATAACTGGTTTGGAGTGTAGTTGTTCATTAATCAGTAATAATACACCCCCTTGTTTCCTCATTATATTGTTTTGATGCGCCTTATTGGATGAGCTAGTTTCATGTTTTAACTTCCTTCAGCAGTTTACTTTGTCCTGCAATATGTTTGTCTTTAAAAGTCAATTTTCACTTGGTATGAACAGGATGATCTTTCCACTTCATTAATGGCTGATGTCTTTTCTGCTTGGCATTCTTACCAGTTGGGCCCTCAGATAACATCTGGAACCTCGCCTTCTGGGGCTCATAAGAAAACCCTTCCAAAAAAACGTTCTCTTGGCCAAAACAAGCCACTCGAAACACTTGGTTCATCACCGTCGCAATCAAGGTAAAATAAAATTTAATTGTTGTGTCACAGTTTGAATAATCTCATTCTCTATTTCCCTATAACTTTCATATGTTGTGGGTTTCCTCAGTAAGAAGCAAAAAGTATCTGGGACCTTTGTGGATATTGCAGAACTGAATGATGTCACTTCTGTCAGTGGAGTCAATCTCGAGGTACATTGTTGACATCTTCAATTCTTTTATATTATGGAGTTTTAGTAAGTGAAAATCGACACTTTTTTGTTTAAATTTGCTCAGAAGTCAGAACCCATTGAAATTCTTGATGAAAACAGGAAGAGGAAGAGCTTCTACTTTCAGGGCCCAAGAAGCATAGTAAAGCTTCAGAAGCCTCTGGAAAATTTGTGCAAGAAGAAGAGGAAAGGCTGATTTTGCAGAAGGCTCCATTGCAGAAAAAGATAGGGGAAATCAGTTATTTTTCTTTGCTTATCTATTTATCATAGAAGTGTCTTTTAACTTTTTTTATTTTATAATAAACTTCTTAAACAGTGTTCCTCTTACGAAAAGCAATATTAACATGATAGAACTTACACATGTGCTTTTGGCAGTGGTCAAATGCGGTTTGAAAAGTGTACGACACGATGTAGAGCGATGCTTGTCAATGGTGAGGTGCTAACTACCATGTTCTTTATTATTATGAAAAACTCACACATTATCTTATTCCCCTGCCAACTAAATCTTCAGTGTGTTGAGGAAAGGATGAGGAGGCTTATAAATAATTTGATCCGACTGTCAAAGCAGGTTTGTTTTTCATTTTTTGTTCCTGCTGAACAGGAATTCTCTTGCATTATATATTTCCTTACTTCCATTCAATGTCCTTGTGCTAGTGGGTTGATGCTGAAAAATCAAGACACCACACTACTACTACTTCTGATGTTTGGCAACAAATTATTGATCTCAATCATAAGCCTAGGGAAGAACGGAAAAAGAAGCCGGCTGAGGCAGAAAAGCTCTGGAAGCTAAATGAAGTGAATCTCCCTTTAAACATTTATTTCCTATTTTTACAATGCACACATGATAAGCTACTAGTGCAAACTATATATTACATACATTTAATAGGTTTACATCTAAAACCAATCGATCATTTAGTCTTCTGTGGCTTCCGAGACTTGGTGCAGACAAACAAAATGGACAATGACAAAATGAGGACAGCAGCAGCAAATGTTGCTGCCCTTGCGGCCGTTGGGGGAGATGACATGTTCTCAAAATGGAAACTTATGGCACAAGCACGGAAACAACGTGATGGTGAGATTGATGCAGCATCTAGAGCCCAGCCAGTTCAAGGTGTAAACCGCACACCTACATCTACAGCTGGAAGAATTATGGAGAGTCAAGAAGCAGAAAAAAAGGGTGTTGCTGCAGCTGGTAAGTATCATTTTGCTACATCGTTTGTCAAATAAATGATTTAGTAAGTATATAGTAGCCATATGTGAGTACCTTTAGGTTTCATTATTCCATAGCAAACAAATTGAATCAGCAAAGGGGATTTATTCTTTGAATGCAAGGAAATCGGATTGACAGCTGCCTGCACGTGAATCCTTTTGTTAATCTCCGAAACTAAAACAGGGCAGGTGTGGCTTCCACCAAGGAGCACCTTTGTTTTGATTAGAGTAACATAACCATCCTTCTAATGCTCTTACCCAGGATGATTCAGAGTCTATATTTTGGCTGGGTGTTTGTTGAACAAGTTATCGCATGTGAATGTTTTTCATTTGGTGCTTTGTTAATTGCCGTTTATGTGTTTATATGTTTATACTTTGCGCAGCTACTTCCAGAAAAGCTGGAAGTAACCAAGTTACCACGACTCACACAAGGATGGCTCGTAGTATATCAGTCAAGGATATGATTGTTGTCTTGGAAAGGGAACCTCAGATGTCGAAGTCCACTCTGCTGTATCGGTTGCATGAGAGAATCCAATCCGACACTGCTATCGCTTCGTCAAATTGAAAGAAAAGAAAAACAAGGAGATCCCATGCATCAATCTGTCTGAAGGGTTCTGATGGCCTTATCACCCCATTACAGGGGAGCATGAAATTGTTAAATTTGCAAATCTCTCGACAGGTATGAATCAAGTAGCATCACAAAACTAAGAGCTTATGACATTGGTCACATAATTTGTCAAGCAAATCTTTGTGGTTGACGAGTTTGTATACAGGCGTGAACCGGTTCTTAAGTAAAAAAATCTCCTCTCTATTTGTTTAAGTTTTTATTTTGAATACTTCGGTATATTTACACTAAAGGGTAGGAGATTGTGGACTATGGCACGCAATGGATTTTGTTATAATAATTGGTTTGAGCTCGCAATCGATAAAATTGAACTTCAGATTTTTCACTTACAAGTGAAGAGAAAATGTTTGTGGATCCAAAAAATCTTGAAGTGCTTCCTGCAAGGAGCATCAATTATGTGTTTCTTGTATGAAGCACTTTAAGTACTTTTCGATGATTCACTTGCATTTTTACTAAAAATTGTTCAAAAAATATTTTCACAAAAGATGTTTTCAACCATTTTAAAAGTACTTCCAAACAAAGGGTTAATTACACACGGGGAGGTTTATTAAAGTTTTACAAAATCTCCTCATATTTGAGATATTATACTAATACTTCCTCATGTTTTAATTCATTTTCACATAACCTTTTCAATCAAACTTTTGTTAATAAATTGACAACTTTACTTTTATAACGAATTAATTAAATAATAAAGAAATATATTAGAAAAATAAATAATTGAACATTAAAAAATAAATTAAAAACTTCTCTCTCTCTCTCGTTCTTTCTATGACTTATTCACACCACCACCATTCTCCCCCTGCCTGCTCACAGCCCAAATCCTTCAACTCCTCCACCAAGCGTAAGTCATATATTTATGAAGAAGAGAAAGCCATCGATTGATCATTCCACTATGGAAAACCCTGCATTGCTGTTGGCACCGGAGAGTTCTGGTGCCGCCATGGCCATGAAAGGCAACCCATATATTCTATGGGTTGTATGATCTGGAACCACAATCCGAGGAGGGAGCGGGACTAATCTAGATTGGGTTGGGATGGTTGGGTGGGAACGCGCTGGGGAATGGGAAGTGGTGAGAGATGAGGTTCACAAATCTTATTTTTTAAATATTTTCTTTATTATTTAATTAACTAGTTATAAGGTTAAACTTGTCAATTTATTGGCAGAATTTTGACCGAATGGAGTATGTGAAATTAAATTAAAACGTTAAAACGTGAGGATATGTTAGTGTAATATCTTAAATGTGAGGAAATTTTGTAAAAACTTAATATACCACAGGAGGTGTTCGTGCAATACACCTTCCAAACAACTCCTGAACTATTTAAAAGAAGAAGTTAGAACGAAGGCCTCCACTTTAGGAAGTGATTCTCTTGCAGTAAAGGAGGTTAAACCTTTTTGAAGAATATGGGAAGCTTCTCATTAGTCGCAGCTGCTGCTGCAAGAAGGTATTATATGCATTTACATATATAAAGGGACAAGACAAAAGCATGAAGCTTTCATAATATTGGTTACTCAGTTTATTACCTTTTTAAAAATATTTTAATAAAAAATTTATTTAAAGTAAGTACAATTAAAACAAACGACAGAAATATAAAATAATAAAAAATAGTCAATTGCAACATGTATGATAAAAGACTATTTTTTTTATTGAACAAAAAGAATAATCGTAATTAGTGTTTATGTTTTCTTCTATTCACTTCATTCCTGATCAAAACTAGTTATCCAAATGTATCAAATAAATAGACGGTTGATTATGAATATAATACTTGACATTCGCAATGTTGATTTGTTTCATACATTTGTATGTATAAATGATCTCCAATTCGAATGCTATTTTTTGTAGTAATGATTTTTTAATGAAGATTAAGAAATTGAACGATTCCAATTATAATATTTATATCACTAAGATACGTTATTCACAAATATTGAAATATGTACATTCTCCTTATCGAGAATGCAAGTATTATTCATTATACTAATGTAATTAGTGATGGCACATCCCGACCCGGAATGTCCACCTGAACTCCAAATTGAGTTGTGTTGGCCGACACCAGAAATGTGATGAAACCATAAAGTGTAGTGATGTGGAAATGTGATTAAATTTAAACCTTAAAGTGCCTAAATGTAAGAGTGCGCTTGTGAGCAGGAATGAACCCATTTCACACGTGATGTCAGAGCATAAGTAAAGTACAATAAAATTAGAATAAGAACTATACCATCGGAAGTAATCTCTGATATTAGCGTTTGCTAGAAATCTTTGTCGACACGAACACTGTCACTAACTCCTGGAGGTGCGAAAAATAAGGGTGCGTGAGCCTAAAAATAAAACTTTGTAAAACCTTTTTGAAAATGTAATAACCCATTACCGTAAAACAAGTATAGTTTCCAAACATAACATACTACGTCTAATATGAAAATACTTACCGTAAACAATAATATTTCGAGAATACAATACTTCACGATATTTCATAAATAAACACCTGGCATCTAGTAGTAATCACAATATCTTGCATAAATGAACATATCATATCGAGTGCTCATCGACATATGCTGACACACGAGTTCATGCATAGATATTCTGACATGAACAGAACTGGGTGTAATAATGATTTATGCTCTAGTACCACAATCACGTGAAGACTAGCGCCATGCACATCACATATGAGTCCTAACTGCCTATAGCAATCTAGAACAAGACTGACACTTACAATTGATCCAAAGTGAGCGTACGGTGCGATGTGAACAAACACGTGAAGCTTGGCCCTGGCCCGGGTGAGTACAAACACCAGTGTAGCACACGATGAGCAAATAATGTAAATATAATCCTTGCAACGGTAAAATCGATAATTCTAGTCAACAATACTATTCATGGTCGTATATATAATTAAGGCAGCCCATAATAATACGCGTACCTATGGATCCCTTAGGATGTAACATAATTTCATAAATTCTGTCAATACACTAATTCTTATAAACGTTAATCTAATCTAGACGTAACGTGGAAAATTCTTTATCAAGTATATAAATGGAAACTAAATAAATAAATAATATTTAAAAGCACAGACCCACTCACAGGCATATGTACGTTGTAACCGTCCAACTATTATGCTCACGGTACACCTTCAGATGGTCCTCTCCTAAACAGAAAATTACTGCACTAATCAATAAAGTAATAATAATTAAAGTAATAAACTTAGTTTCCCCTAATTTGCACAAGAACGAGATTTTCGTCGGAAATTTCTAAAATAACACAACAGAGTCATTTCTTAACCATTTTTCCCACAAGAGGTATCAAAATGAAACTTAGGACGATGGGAACGTTTTTATACTTCTTTGAGAGAACAAAACTTGGTCAGAGGTGATGGGTTCCGGACTTTCTAGACATAGCAGGTTTCGAGCATGCAAGCTCAAATTTATGATCTAGGGGTTGTGGGAAGTCGTCCTACACTTTCAAATACGACTAAATCAAAAAGGTGTAGCTGGGTTAGCTTGGAAAAATCCTACAACTTGCCGAAAATATCCTACAACTTTCCGAAAAAATAACGAGGTTAGAAAAATTCTACATGCACACTAGTACATACATGCATGCCTGAAAATCCACTAGAACTTGAAGGATAGGCTTGGGAAAGAAAGTTGGAGCTTACCGAGAAAAGGTCAAGTTCATCGGTTTTCCGTTCGAGTATGAAATGCCCTTTATTTCTACTACGTGGTCTTCGTGGTTTTAAGTATGGTGGCAAGTTCCAGATGTCTTTAGGAAGCTTTTGGGTGAATTTGTGAAATTTTTGGGAGTGGTTATGGTGGTGTTTTGATGTGCAACGAGAGAGAGAGAGTGAGGAGAGAGCTATGTGAGAAAGTGAGAGTGAGAGAGAGAGAGAGTCTGAGAGGTGTGGGAGAGAGTTAAGAGTTGTGAGGTTGAGTGAAATGAGTGGAAGGAGAGAGGGTGATGTGAGGGTTAATGTGGGAGAGACTGTGAGAGTAATGATAACAATTATGGTTGAGTAAATTGTTAGAGAGAGAAAGGGAGAGACGTGAGGGAACCGGCCAAAATGGGAGAAATGTAGACTTGGCATTCGTGTTGTGTTTTCCGTGTTCGTGTCATTTTCGTGTCATACCCAATATCATAATGGGTAGTGTTGTGTAATATCCGTTAAAATAATCGGGTAAAATGATCTGATCCAATAATATTAACAGGTAATATGACCTGACCCGTTAAGGAAAATATATTTTAAACCAATAAATAATCAAATGAAAAATATAATACTAAATAAGTATATACATACGTCACATCCAAAACATAAAAACATATTTTTCTCTTAAGTACATATTTACATACCCAAAATAAGAGCATAATAAAAAAATGAACATTAGAACATTACAAAATATGCAATTTGAGTAATCAGTACTATGTACTCTAACATATGCTGCATTCCACACACACACACACACACACACACACACACACACACACATATATATATATATATGTATATCATGTCAGTGGAGAGTATAAGCATACTAAAAGTATAAACACTGATTACCAACATGCTTCTTTAACAATACACATATATCCATCCATACATATATATGCAGTAGAAAAGGTACTTAATAAGCATATTAGTCTTTTGCATTCGACCAACAACTTCTACATATAATAGATCAAGGCAAGTATCTGCATAAAACTGGCCCTGACTAATATATAATGGATAAATCGACTCCACTTGATCAATCCATATCATACAAAACATGCGTTTCAGCTTTCATACCAAACTAGGGTTTAGGTATCTGTGTGTAAAACTAGTTATTGTATCAAATAAGTATTTGCATAGAAAAGCTTGCACAGACATTTGCATATAAAACTAGGTTTCCCTAACAACATTCATAGAAATAACCATGAAAGGAAACAAGTTATGGGAATAATTACCAAAGCCTTACAAGCTGCAGGTCAACAGGATTTGGAATCATAAACCCACTTGTTCTTCGCTAACCCTGATCTCCTTTTTCGTATCCTCTCTCTGATCGAACTTTCTCTAGCCCTCTTTCTTTCTTTCCAATTTGACAGGATATATAAATACGCATCCCCTTCCTAGGCTTCCCAAAATCCATATCCTTATCCTTTTTAACCTTTAAATTCCCTCCCCACAATGAATCTCAATCAACATCAGCAAGCAATTCTAAGTATAGTAAAACTTTGTTCTTGCGGAGATTGATTAAAGT